TCTTCCTCATTGGCGTATCATACTGCAGTAGAAGTGTATCCCTTAACTGGTCTCGTCTTAACCATAACTTGCTCGATGGCAGGTTGAAGCACAGCTCCCCCGGGTAAGTGCTTCAGAGGAGGCASAGCAACGCCTGCAGGATTTTCAAACGTAAACTTCTGCAAAAGGTTTGCCAAGAATAAGAACAACTCACACCGTGCGAGGACCTCTCCCATACACGCGCGAGGACCTGCACCAAATGGCAAGAAATAACCTCCATCAGGAAACACAAACGTTCCATCGGCATCCAGGAACCTCTCTGGATGAAATCTTTCGGGGTCCTTCCAGAATGAGGGGTCGCGGTGAAGGGCCCATATGTTGACTATCACGGTAGTTCCTTTCGGTATATCGTACCCACCAATTGTCGTATTTACGGTTGTCATATGGGGAACTGACAGAGGCAATATRGATGTATAACGCATTGTCTCACAAATAAACGCCTCTAGATAAGGAAGGCTTTTCCTCGTGTCAAGCCTCACGGGTCCTCTCCTACCAATAACTGTATCAATCTCCGCATGGATCTTTCGCTGTATGTCAGGAAAATGCAGAAGRTATAGCACAGCCCAGGTTAGWGTAGTCGCTGCAGTCTCAGACCCAGCGATAAAAAGTGTCGTTATAGACGAAATGAGGTGCTTATCCTGCAAGTACTCGAGCTCTTTCGAGTTTTCCTCTTCGGCTTCGCGCCTCGCATTGAGAATAACATCAGTATAATCACGCAGATTATCCTTGTCAAATGTTTGCTGATGTTCGCGGTATTTCTTGCAGAGAATCTCACGCCAACGATCATTCGTGATCTGTAGTTGTCTGACGTCACCACTAACAGGCAAAACGAACCTGAGGAAAGGAAACAAATCGACCAATCCGCGAGCTGCAACAGTACTAAGACGAAAAAGCTCAGCCTGTARTTGAAACATCTCTAAAAATTCTGGGTCCCCGACGTCAAATCTTGACCCGAATATCTGGTTGCAAATGACATTCATGATAGCTAGGCCTATTTCAATTTTAATGCGTGCAGGTTTACCCAGACTTTCCTTGAGCTGAAGCCTCGTACACAGCTCAGTGATTTCTTGTTGAATGATCATTTCGTAGCGATTCGTACCATATACCTTTATTGTCTTATGTGCAAGACGTCGGTGAATCTTCCAATGGTCACCATAGTCAATCAACACCAAAGGAGGGTCATCTCTGAGGGCAATTTTGTAAAAATACATCGAAGGTCGCCCGGCGAAATCTGAGGGCTTCCTAACCAATGCCTCTCTGATGGCGTCCCCACTTAGCACGACCACGAGCTTTTCTCCAATGTAAAGACGAAACACTTTGCCATATTTATCAGCGAGATCTTTTAGACTGTTTTGTAGATCTTGTCCCAAGATGTGTAAATTCCCTATTAGAGGCAGAGGAATAGGTCCTGGGGGTAGATTTCTSCCGACAAATTTGAAGAAATAGTAGTAGACAAGGATAGCTACTACAGTGAATACAGTAAATAGCGTTATTGAAGGAAGCATAGTCCAAAGGTGGCCCATGATAGATGCCGTACGACTGAGAATATATAGAAATTACAAAACTTTCTTTGACTCCGATGTCAGATAGAGGGATATCAGATCTAATGTTATTTGATAGCCGATAATGATTGAAGTATAATGATTGACCGATACCAGGAATGTATGACGTGAAATTGGAAAAAATTCTCTTTTAGACAATAGAAAATATTYCTAGCATCTTAATTTAATCTAATCTATTGTTTCTCTCGGAAATGACCTCATTTTAAAGAAATTAGAGAACTTACAATTCTCGATTTTGCATTTTTTATACCACGGGGAAGATGATAAAGCGTCACGCAAGTGAGCGTGACACTGTGATATTTAAATTTAGTCCTATAAATTTGAAAATATAAACGAAGGATTGCTTAGAATTGKTTTAGACTTGAAAATTGTATTTCTTAATATAATACTTTCTTCAATTAAGGAAGAATTCCCAACCAATTCTTCCGTAACTCTGTTTTGTTCCGACAAGCCACGCTCTCATGACGGGTCATTGCGCATTGTTCGTCTTGTCGGGGTAAGGGTAGGGCTATCTTTGTAACTTCAAAAAATGATCAAACAATTTTTAATAGCAAGTTTTCTAACCTTTAAATGAAATAAAATCCACAAAATTAATCTTGAATATTGTCTTACGATTATTRAAATAGTTATATTATAGTTATATTATGTTATATTATATTATAGTTATATCATCCGAAATATTTCGACCTTAGGGGTTCCCCCTAGGGACCACTCACACGCTCCCTTCCTTATTTACATATTAATTTATTTAATATCGAATTCGAAAGACGGCCGGCAAAGTTGAGAGAATTTTTCGATTTTTCGATATGGCGGAAGAAGAAATTGGTCGAGGAAAATTTCCTAGTTTTCTGATTCTAGTTCAAGGTCTTTTACTTATTTTATTCGTAGTTTTTGTCGAATATGACAGCGATGTACTGCCTGATGCTGCAGAGCCTTCTAAAATAGACACAAAATACCCAGGTATTAATTGCTTCTAAATTTTACCTATAAAAATTTAAAGATATCAAACTGAGCTCTAAATATATCTTAATTCCAGTATTTCAAGATCTTCATACCTTAATCTTGGTTGGATTTGGGTTGCTTATGACTTTTCTGAAGCGGTATGGATTTAGTGGATTGGGGTACAATTTTCTCATCTCTGCTCTGACCATACAGTGGGCTACRATTATGCAAGGATTTTTTGAAATACGAGAAAATAAGATTTTCCTTGGAATTGACAGGTAAGAATAGTGAGTTTTGAAAGATATTTATTCATTAGTGAATGATTGATTTGAAGTTTTGAAATGATGG